GACCAAAGTATGGAATATTATAACACCTAAGGTACTTGCTAAATGGTATTGACAAAAGTATGGAATATTATAACACTGAAGGTAATTGCTAGGTGGTACTGACCAAAGTATGGAATATTATAACACCTAAGGTACTTGCTAAATGGTATTGACAAAAGTATGGAATATTATAACACTGAAGGTAATTGCTAGGTGGTACTGACCAAAGTATGGAATATTATAACACCTAAGGTACTTGCTAAATGGTATTGACAAAAGTATGGAATATTATAACACTGAAGGTAATTGCTAGGTGGTACTGACCAAAGTATGGAATATTATAACACCTAAGGTACTTGCTAAATGGTATCGACAAAAGTAGGGGATATTATAACACCTAAGGTACTTGCTAGGTGGTACTGATCAAAGTACGGGATATTATAACACTTAAGGTATTTTCTAGATGGTACTGATCAAAGTATGGAATATTATAACACTTAAGGTATTTTCTAGATGGTACTGATCAAAGTATGGAATATTATAACACCTAAGGTATTTGCTAGGTGGTATTGACAAAAGTAAGGGATATTATAACACCTAAGGTACTTGCTAGGTGGTACTGACCAAAGTATGGAATATTATAACACCTAAGGTATTTTCTAGATGGTACTGATCAAAGTATGGGATATTATAGCACTTAAGGTATTTTCTAGATGGTACTGATCAAAGTATGGAATATTATAACACCTAAGGTATTTTCTAGATGGTACTGGTCAAAGTATGGGATATTATAGCACTTAAGGTACTTGCAAGATCGTTCTCTTTTTTTTTTTTTTTACTCAAAAGAATTAGCAACGAAAGGTAGAAATTTACACAATGTGTAAATCTCGTTAAATTATTCGATGAGTTATATAAAGAGGAGAAGGTTAGGACTAATTTTCATCCTAAGCAGGCCTAGGCAATTGAAATGAAGATTGTAAAAAAACAAAAACATCTGAATAAACAACGGATATCAAACTAAACTGCTTTCTGCATTGCTTTGTAAAGGTAATTAAATCTTTTAACTGAAAACAAATGTATACCAAATACGTTCGATAATTTTAAACATACAATGATGCTCCTGAAATATCCTTATTCGATTATTCATCATAAAATTAGTTAGCAACTAAAGCTCCGTTACATGGCGGTTACTCACATAATGAGTAAACACAGTGTCGAAAAAAAAAGAGCTTTCCAAAGATGTTGATATAATGCAAGAAAACTGTACATCATAAATCTGGAAGAATATAACTTGTTCTTTATGTATTTAGTACAATAAATATAAACAGCTAGAAGCAGTTATTTTTGTCTGCTAACAGATTGCTTATTTCTAGGTTTTTAATTCGATGCAACAAAATCACACGAAGTCTGGTAAATAATATATGACATGGTGACTACTCTAAGTGAATACTATAAAACAATCATATTGTAAACTTTAAAAACCAAACGTACACGTGTCACTAGGCCCTTCGCAAACTTAATAGCTATATATGACATGGTGACTACTCTAAGTGAATACTATAAAACAATCATACTGTAAACTTTAAAAACCAAACGTACACGTGTCACTAGGCCCTTCGCAAACTTAATAGCTATATATGACATGGTGACTACTCTAAGTGAATACTATAAAACAATCATATTGTAAACTTTAAAACCAAACGTACACGTGTCACTAGGCCTTTCGCAAACTTAATA